CTTAAGAAGAAACGACAATATTAAACATTGCACATGTATTCCATTCAATCTCATTCGTTGGTGGAACTGTCTAAGAGGAAGACTTTCAGCGTAGTGACAAAATTACTTTCTGCCGAAAACGTTATGTTGCCTATAATTTTGAAGTTACGGTACCTAACTTCGATCCTTTTATATTGTAGGCATGGCAAGGGTAATAGGAGTGATGTTACTACGTTTGTTAAGTGTACTTCTCAGATCTGACCTTTTCAATGGGTGATGAAAACGGTTAACTTTTGCAATATTAGGTCTGTTTTAGAAAAATATAACTCGAGACGTAATATAATGTGTCTCTTATAAAAGAGTATAATTCAAGACTAGATAATAAAGCAAGATCATTTTTAACCTAGATCCCGAGTAGCACGAACTCTTAATTAATGGCCAAAAGAATTAAGTATGGAATTGAAAATTATATTAATAAAATTGAGAATGGAAACGAGGAAAATGTCAAGGAGACAAAATCCCAATCAATGAGCAAAAATAAGAGCCCAAGGCCACATGCTCATAGTCTACTCGAGTGGACAAAATGATTAAATCACTCTAAATAAAAGATGTTTATACATTGTAGCAATTGCAGCATATCCTTTTCGTTTTTGTTGTAGTCGTTTAACTAAAAGAAAATATTTTAAAAGCGTAGTCGACGAAGATATTTAAAAAAAAAGTAAGCGATAAATACATAATACAATTTAGAGAGTGAAGTGCAAACTATATAAATATATGACAGAGATTATAATAGAAAATAATTTGTCTGACAATTAAACATGCGTTGGTACTTTGTTGGTACTTTGTTGATAAGTACGTAATGTAAGATGGTCAGAGATATAAACATATGTTTTGATAAAGAATCAAGAGTGCAATACATTTTTTTTTTGGCACGCGAGAGCAATCAAGAAACGTTATTCTAAACATTTGCCTTCAGAAACAGGTTGAGATTTCTGAACAATCTATCATATAGACAAATAGTTAGATTAACTTCAATAACAGATCAGATTATAATGATTACCTATATATTCTTAACACAGATTTTATTACAATTCTAACGCACACAAAGGTGAGTAGAGAAATAAACGAATTAAAAATAATAATAATAAAAAAGAAACATCAATGAAGTAAAATAACAAAAAAAAGGAAATAAATAAAAAAAAAAAAAATGTAAAAATTATATTAAACTGGAGGAATTCATACGATCAAGACCGATCTTATAAATAAATAGTCAAAAATTACTAAAAATAAAATCATTAGTATAAACTTTATAACAAACATATTAACTTAAATTCACTGAGGTACAAATGACTAAGAGAGAGAGAGAGTGATTTTTTTAATTCCCTTACATGTGGAGTACATAAAACACAGATCTCCATATGACTCATTGTCGCGAGTTGGAGTACATCCAGAGACAGATCTCCAATATTTCGCAGGTGGACTTCAGTTCCACAGAAGAAGATCGGCACCTTTTGATTGATAAAATTTATCATGATTGTGAATGCATTTTATATTTTTATGTATGTGTATGTATTTATGTTTCATTTATTGCAAGAAAATTTAAACAGATAAAAATTACCTTACACAAAATAAATAGGATATTAATAGTGTCAAAACAAAAATGTTATAAACAAAAAATTGAAATCAGGAGATTTCAAACCTAACAAGGGGGTAATGTTATGAAAGGATTTAGGACGTTATTCGAAATAATAAGAAATTAATATCAAGGAGATATTAGTTAAACAAACAAATATATTTCTAGTTTTTTAAGATAGTGAAAAGTAAAATAGAATATAAATTTCAAATAATTCGTTGATATAAGAAGAAAATACATGAATAAAATAGATTAAGATTCTTAAGAATAACGAACTTTATCTTAGATGCAAGATAATCAGTAATAGTACAAAGTCAAGAACCTCATTAAATAAGTTATTTGGCACGCGTAAAGAAGGTTATTAGGTTGCCGGACAGATGGATGTCGAATTGCTATTACATCCAAGGTTATAACCATATTCTCAGAATCATGAATATTCAGTAATACATTAAGGCACACGAGAATGTTATTAACAACCAATCAAACAGCTGAAATACGAAGATTGATGTATACAAGATAATAATTAAAATTTAACAAATTTTTAATTATCTTTTATTATTAAGATCAGAAATTAAAATTCTTCCAAAAATATTATTCCTTTTAATTTTAGAAAACATAATTCTGATGCTTTTCAAAAACAAATAAATGCATTTTGCATATTATGAAGTAATAAATGTTTTGGCAGCAAATTCCATCGTTTGCAAAAGAAGCTCAATTTCGGCTGGGGAACAAGAATGTCGTGTATTCAATTGTGACTATAAAAGCAAATATAAGTCTACTGCCCGTACTATCCTTGTTCCTACCAGCAAATTGAGTTGTCTTATTTATTTCATTAAAAAGGTAAGTTATATACTGTTACTTAAATTTATTTAAAGAAAGAAATTAATTGCGATATAATTCAATAAATATAAATATAAATATATATATTCAAATATAACATTTTAGTCATTGCGTTTCATGAGGTTATTCACTCATGTATAACAAATAGAATGAACGTAGTTTACAAGGTAATTCAAGCAATATTTGAAATAGAAATACATGTGTTATTATCAACTGATAATGTTATTTATTGTTAATCTGTATGATTTATGCACTGCGATATTTTATGATCAAAAAGAAAAGAAAAGAATAATTAAACTATCCTTGTTCCTACCAGCAAATTGAGTTGTCTTATTTATTTCATTAAAAAGGGTCGGAAGGCGCGAGTCCCACTCTCGCTGCCAAGCCAGTCCATAACAACGACATGTAGTCCCCAGATAGCCAGACATCTTTCGATCTACAAGAACCGTAGGAGAACTTGGCAAACGAGTCAAAGAAAATTACCATCATGTTTATCAATATAGAAATCCTAAAGCACAATCATAGTCCCACCTTAACAAGTGTTTCCCCTGTGAAGTATACGAACAAAAAGGACCATAAAAACCTTCACAACACAATGCCAAAATAAAGGTATCGACAGATTGTAGTACCGTTAAAGTGCATATGTGTATAACAAAACTATTTAGTATGATTTTAATTTACTGATAACAGAATCGATATTTATACCAATAAAAACAATATTCAAAGATCTAATTACAGTGTTGAATTGGTAACCTTTTAAAATAATTTTATTTAAAGGATTGATAAGTTTACCCGGATCGTATATACATTTCCGGGCTCGGTAAACAACATCACTGTAAAATTTAGGATGTGCTATTCCGTCTGAAATATGTTTTGCACAGGTACAGCCAAACTTGCAAACCAAATCTTTGTATCTATGGAAGAATTAATTATAGGTTTTAAGTAATTTGTGGTAACGAAATCCCTGACTTAATAATTTACCAGTAATACATAGATTACGCTCATTGAAATCCAAAACGTCACTACAAACACGGGCATAACGAACGAGTTGGGATATATAAATACCTTAAGTACACAGCTATTTTGTATACATTCTTCTTTGTTACATTCCACTTAAATATGCAATTGAGTTTAATATACTCAACCTATCAGTAAATATAATTACTCAATTTCATACAGTCACTTAATTTCTTGTCTCTTTTTTCTCTGGCGTAGAAAAACATAAAAAAAGTTAAAAAAAACAACAAAAAAAACAAAAAAAACAAAACAAAAAAACAAAAACATTTCTACATGTAAAACGGCATTAATACTGAGTAATTAACCGACACGTACTTCGGTGTATTGGCCAGTTTTCGAACACAGAATTGCAGTTCTTTTCATATACAAAAAAAATAGATTAAAAATAATTAGTCATGAATTACAATCATTTCATATTGTAAGAAAGCTTGGTATTCTTCTAGCAAACATGTATATCTTGTCAAAGGGGCATTAGCTACGAGATATAAAGAAAATTAGAATAAGATTTTTTTTTCAATAATTAATGAAATAGTAAAATAATAATTCACTTTTAGCAGCCAGTTTGGTTCCTTTTTTTTCAAAATAAGCTGAGAAACATCGATGATAAATTATTCACTCGCAAGTGAATAATTCGACCTCTTTGAATCCGTATTCATGTAACCTTCTATTTAACCCCTTAGCCAAAGATGGGCTACGCATGAACTAAGCGTGTTTAGCTATTAAAAGGAAAAAAATGTCAACATTGAAAGTGAAACAAGGGTAAACAATTTAGTTGACCGATTCTATCCACAAAAACTCATTCTTATACAGGTAAAAACGATGGTTAACATGTTGTTAAACCTATAATATAAAATCGAACAGAGCCTAGAAAAATCCAATTGTACGTGTTCGGTATCTATTTGTATGTATGTTTATGTTTATATTGGATTATATGACTGTCGGCAGTCATCGGAGGTCAACCCGATGGTTGATTGGATTGTGTCTAGACCAAAATACACACGAAAAGCGGATACATATTATCGAGTCCATGCATTGGTTATTGTTCATTTTAGATGTTTTGCAAGTATGATATACGTTTTAGTAGGTTATAAATCAAATCAAATATGAACACGAATTTGACAGATAATGCCCCTTTAATATTTAGTTTGTTCACACTGATGAATGTATTTTCAGTGGTGTAAGGGACATGTATGTAACATTTTACTGATTCAGAGTTACATAGTGTTTTTGGAAATACGCACGATATAGTATTGTAAGCAGAAAGTTTTTATGGGGAAACTAATAAATAGGAAGTGGCAAATTCCTTAAAATTTTGATACATAAATTAACAACTGCATGGAAAATAAGATAGCATTACGGACAATGTGAATTCAACAATTTGTCCTTCATCGCAAGCAGGGGACGAAAGAGATTTTTGTTGTTTTTGCCAAATTCACTTCTAATTCAGTACACTGTACAAAGCTGTTCGATAATGTTATCATATTTACAATATACAGAGGTACAATCCGAATTTCATTTAAAAGATACTCACTCGTAATATCAGCATAATTGAACAGTTTCCGTCTGCAAAGTGACAAAACAAGAAATAAATTGACAAGATCAAAGACCGTTTGGGTTTAAAATGGTCATGAAACGTTGAGAGAATAAGGAAAGTGGAATCAAATAGATCGTGATAATTAATTTATTATGCAATATATTATCGTCTTAAACAAAACTTTGTTCGTCAAGGCTTCCAATGACGTAGTGCACATGCACAAGTAAAACCAGCGAATGATTTTGCACAATACTAACAATAAACATGATAAATGAGGGTCTGGGTGGGATTTATAGAATACAGAATACGTGGCAAAATAAATGGCAATAAAAATAAAGAATTGAGAACAATAGGCCAAAAAATAATAACGAATAGAGAATAATGGGGGGTTTAAGTATAAAATATAATGAGCAAAATAGATAAAGAATACAGAAAAATGATCTAAGCAATTAAAGAATATAGAATTGAAAAACACCCCATCTAGACCCTCATATATGAATGTCTGCCAGAACGTGAACATGACGTTTGTGGTTTTAAATCTAATGATAAAAGCTACATGATTTGTGATATTGTATCGAGTATGACATTCATTGTGTCAATTTATGAAGGAAATATAATTAATATGAAGATAAGGAGATCTAGCTAGTATGATTGTCAATGAGACAAAAATCCACTATAGATCAAACGAAGCGGAAGTACGTAACTACATGTACATGTACCTGTGTGGCCTTCAACACAAAAATTTAAAAAATATAAAACCTCTCAAATTAGAATACCAATTAAGCTGACGTTATACTAAAGCAGAATATATACAATGATAATTTAACATACAAGACTAAAACTTTGATTCTGGGTAGAAAAAGTAAATTTACAGAAATCGAACATTCTTGTTTTTTAAGGATTGCATCCTCAAAACCATGAAAAATGGGAGATAACATTTAGCATAGCAATGGACGGATCACACGACTAACTGCTGCAACAACCAATAGTTTCTATGTTGTTTTTAAATTGTTTTTAAGAATAAACATAAAGACTTAAGTTTATTTTGAATATTGACTTTTCTTATTCCTATCTATCATGTTTAAGTAGAAAACAAATGGCATTGAAAATTCACAGTCATCTAATGGAAAAATTAATAATTCAATATAAGGATATATGCACTGGCAATCATATCGCGTTTCCTTTTTTTTTTTTTTTTTTTTTGTATATAAAAGAAAAAGGACAACACTATTCTGGCAAAAAGATAGATGGATATATCATGTCCTACAGTCATTACGACATATACACGAGAACATATTTGTTATATGAACGTAAAACCTCCTTTGCATTGAACCGAAACGCTGAGCCGCACTTCCAGCGTGCCAATTTGCGAGTTAAATGTCCGCCGCCTACTCTGAAACAATCGAGCCAATAAGTCTTTCTAGTACACTGCAATGCCGATTGCGTACCGGAGAAGCCACAAATACCAGTTTTATAGTCGTTGGTTTGATAAGCAGAATAGCTTTCCGTATAACAAAATGTTGTCCAAAAGAGACAATAAAAAAGCTTACATAAAGATCTGTGTACATGTAGTTATGTTTCATCGACGGTGAGTATTGACCAACAAATGCATTTTCAATTGTATTTTTATACTACTACTAATTCTAAATAAACAAGAGGTCAAACATATAGAAACTGTTGCTTTCAAAAAGCTTTTATAAACAACCCTACATGTACAATGTATATCAGCAACACATTTATCACATGGTTGACAAGCCAGAAAGGTGCATCTAATCTCTGGAGGCTATATAATCAATTCAGACATTAAAAGAATCAATAAATTCAATACACTTGTGTATAATGATTAATGAAAATAATAAGATGTGGAATAATTGCCACTCCATCAGAGAACAAATGGTAAAGAAGTGAGGCACTATAGGTCACCGTATGGCCTTCAACATTGAGCAAAACCCATATCTTATAGCAAGCTATAAAATCTGTAATTGTTTTTTTTTTTAAGTCTTGAAATTTAAATCTAAAACATCAAAACGCTTATTATAAGTCAAGGTTCATACAGCTGTTTTCTGACTATAGTTGTTGGACTATATAGCTAGGGTTTATCACCTCACCAGCAGGAGAGGTGAATCAGAATCACATATCCATTTCATGTCTTTGAAGCATGTGCCCGTTGATGGTATTTGATCTCCTTAAAGAATATTTCAACTGATGATAAAAGCTATTAAAAAGCTTACCTGATTGACAAATCTATGGTACAATCTGCAGGTCAAGATCATTGAATATCATCGAGAGAGATTTTGTTGAAATATATAGTATTGCTCAAAGAACCTGTGAAATTCCTATTTCGAGTTTTAAAGATCAGGAAATACTTTAGATTATCAAATTTAAGATGTATACATTTGTTAGGTTGTTTCCAATTAAAAATAAAATTTGGGATTGTTTTAGTAGAATATATTTGAGCAATGATGTGCTACTGTCGGGAACAAAACAGGAAAAATAAAATAAATACTTTAAATCTTGTAAACTATTAAACGATGACGCCATTTTAAATCGAGTTACGGCTTTTTAAGACGCAATTCTTATCGACAACAAACTTATGAATCATAATCTTTTTATTCAGGAACTTCCTTAGTGGATGTAAAGTTGCTTATTTTTCTAATTAATTTAATAACATACTATTTTTTTTAAGTTCAACGGGAAGTTAATAATACACGTATTAAACTTTATAAATTTGTAACACTGCTATATTCCTAAACATCACAGACTCGTCCAAACGAATAAAACAAGACTTACTTTAATATCTTTAAAAAATGAAAATCACACTGTCTAATGTGTACGCGTCCGAAGACGTTTCTTAGATTTACTATCACCAGAAACGTGTATTGTATTTTATTAAAAATGAGCTGATAAGTATAGGTTTAGGGGATATTTGGTATAACCAAGGCTATTTTATAGATAGTAAGCTCTCCAGTGCTTTTTAGTTGATAATTAAACAGCACCTGTTTGATAGTCTGAAGCAAGATTTCTACAGCCAATTTTGTACTTTTGTTGAATGTTCAAGTTCAACTGAGTACTTTTGTTGAATGTTCAAGTTCAACTGAGTACTTCTGTTGAATGTTCAAGTTCAACTGAGTTCTTTTGTTGAATGTTCAAGTTCAACTGAGTACTTTTGTTGAATGTTCAAGTTCAACTGAGTACTTTTGTTGAATGTTCAAGTTCAACTGAGTTCTTTTGTTGAATGTTCAAGTTCAACTGAGTACTTTTGTTGAATGTTTAAGTTCAACTGAGTACCTTAGTTAAATGTTCAAGTTATATATAAATAGGGTTCATAATTTTTGTTTACAATATTACTTATGTAAACCAATACCAGTTATTTATAAGACACGTTTTTCTATAATAAGACTAGTCATAAGTTAGCTATAGAATGACTACGTTACTCTTCAATTTCTAGAAGATTAGAAATAGTCTTGAAGTTTTTGTAAGGATGACATCGAGGATGAAATATGTTTCCTTTTAAAATGTCCCACGTTTCAAGGTCTTAGATCTTTAATTTATTAAGGATATAGTCATGTCAGGTTTAGCAATTTTTGTCAATTGTTCAGACTCCTTGCATTTTTTCCTACGGATGCAGGGTAAAATATTTTGCCCCATATCTCCCACTTTTCTTTTCAAAGAAGACTTCAACAGCTCATAAAAAGTTCATTACCAAAATTTTAGCAGATTCTAGATTTCTTTTCTTACGATTTGAGACCTAAATAATGTCAAAGCTAAATATAAGGTAAAAGTGTGAGTCAGCCTTTTCCCGCAATTTAAAAAAAAATCAAATGTCTCGAAAAGAAGTTCCATAACCTACAAATATTCTTAGCTTATTTTGTTTCTAAACTAATGCTCCTCTGAAATAAAGTATCAAATTTAAATTCTAGATTTTTTTTAATTTCTACTGGCTTCATCCTTAAGTCGTATTATTCGAAAAAAGACTTCTATGTATATTGATATAAGAAGATGTGGTATGAGTGCCAATGAGACAACTATCCATCCCAGTCAAAATTTATAAAAGTGAACCATTATAGGTCAAGGTACGGCCTTCAACACGGAGCATTGGCTCATCCCGAACAGCAAGCTATAAAGGGCCCCAAAAATTACTAGTATAAAATAAATATATACAATCATTGGGTTCAAATAATCTGAAAGAGCTACATATACATAAGAAGATGTGGTATGAGTGCCAATGAGACAACTCTCCATCCCAGTCAAAATTTATAAAAGTGAACCATTATAGGTCAAGGTACGGCCTTCAACACGGAGCATTGGCTCACACCGAACAGCAAGTTATAAAGGGCCCCAAAAAATTACTAGTGTAAAATAAATATATACAATCATTGGGTTCAAATAATCTGAAAGAGCTACATATACATAAGAAGATGTGGTATGAGTGCCAATGAGACAACTCTCCATCCCAGTCAAAATTTATAAAAGTGAAACATTATAGGTCAAGGTACGGCCTTCAACACGGAGCATTGGCTCACACCGACCAGCAAGCTATAAAGGGCCCCAAAAATTACTAGTATAAAATAAATATATACAATCATTGGGTTCAAATAATCTGAAAGAGCTACATATACATACGAAGATGTGGTATGAGTGCCAATGAGACAACTCTCCATCCCAGTCAAAATTTATAAAAGTGAACCATTATATGTCAAGGTACGGCCTTCAACACGGAGCATTGGCTCACACCGAACAGCAAGCTATAAAGGGCCCAAAAATTACTAGTATAAGATAAATATATACAATCATTGGGTTCAAATAATCTGAAAGAGCTACATATACATAAGAAGATGTGGTATGAGTGCCAATGAGACAACTCTCGATCCAAGTAACAATTTATAAAAGTGAACCATTATAGGTCAAGGTACGGCCTTCAACACGGAGCATTGGCTCACACCGAACAGCAAGCTATAAAGGGCCCCAAAAATTACTAGTATAAAATAAATATATACAGTCATTGGGTTCAAATAATCTGAAAGAGCTACATATACATAAGAAGATGTGGTATGAGTGCCAATGACACAACTCTCCATCCAAGTCACAATGTTTAAAAAGTTAACAATTATAGGTCAAGGTACGGCCTTCAACACGGAGCATTGGCTCACACCGAACAGCAAGCTATAAAGGGCCCCAAAAATTACTAGTATAAAATAAATATATACAATCATTGGGTTCAAATAATCTGAAAGAGCTACATATACATAAGAAGATGTGGTATGAGTGCCAATGACACAACTCTCCATCCAAGTCACAATGTTTAAAAAGTTAACAATTATAGGTCAAGGTACGGCCTTCAACACGGAGCATTGGCTCACACCGAACAGCAAGCTATAAAGGGCCCCAAAAATTACTAGTATAAAATAAATATATACAATCATTGGGTTCAAATAATCTGAAAGAGCTACATATCAATAAGAAGATGTGGTATGAATGCCAATGAGACAACTCTCCATCCAAGTCACAATGTTTAAAAAGTTAACAATTATAGGTCAAAGTACGGCCTTCAACACGGAGCCTTGGCTCACACCGAACAGCTTGTACGTAAATTGGGTAAAATCATATTGTGTGCACACACACACACAAATATAATTAACTAAATAAGATTTGAAATGTTGTAGTATGTTTCAAAATACCTTCTGCTATTCTATGTATATTTTGTGTACTGTATGTTGTATGTCTAAAGTTGTTATGACTTTAGTAAGTAAAGATTATGATTTAGTATTTTTTACAATATTATCACATTAATTGTAAGTATATTGGTAAATCGTGTATTTAGCCAAAGTAATATAAGGTATCAGTAGGCATTTGAACATTACAATTTGTTGATTAAATTATAATTTACAAGTTTCTTTTATATTATCAAATTCCAAATATTTTATGCGGTTATCTTAATATATGGATTGTATTATTATTTATAAAACTAAAATTAATGTATGTGTCTACTACAGAACGAAGTAAAAGTAAAATCGATGCTTTGATCCATATATCTATATACCTACTTATCAACAAAACTACTGTCACAAACTTAAAAAAATACCACTACGTACCAGATGGAATTTTGTAAATCTTGGTGACAGCCAACGCATTTCACTCGTCCTAATCCTAACGTGTCCATAGCAACTAACACGATATTAGATACATATTAAGCAACTTTTCGGTGACAACAAATAATGTTTCCACTAAAAAGTAATATTATAACAAAGACATGCATAAACGTACGTCCCTTATATGATCAAAACTATTGCCAGGTAAAGTCATATTCGATGATACAAGACGACTTCGTACCTTGTCGTTGTCATTTTAATGACGATTTATATTACATATTTGTTTGTACTTTCGTCATTGAGTTCGTACTATTAATACAAATGCACCTAGACAAGGTATTTTCTCTGTGTAATAATGACTTCCCGAACATTAAATTCTCTTCGTATGTAAAGCATTCTACATACTTTCAGTCTTATGTTTAATTTTAACTTTAATTTACAGCATGATATGCACCGTGGAATGAGATTTTTTATTTGACGGAAGATTGATAAAAGTGTTGTAAAATGTTTATATAATGACTTTATTGGGTTAACATGACATATCATTCTTATATTGATATAAGAAGATGTGGTATGAGTGCCAATGAGACAACTCTCCATCCAAGTCACAATTTGTAAAAGTAAACCATTATAGGTCAAAGTACGGCCTTCAACACGGAACACCGAAGTGCAAGCTATAAAGGGCGAAAAAAATGACTAGTGTAAAACCGTTCAAACAGGAAAACCAACGGTATAATCTATATAAAAAACGAGAAACGAGAAACACTTATGAACCACATCAACAAACGACAACCACTGAACATCAGGTCATTTTCTGTGTATTAACTAACTTAAAGATTGTTCTGCCACCGGAATATATTTTCTAAGCCAAGTACCAAATTATAAGCCTGATATATTTGATGAGTTTGTATAGAATTTAATACTCTCTGTCAGTACTCTTTAATTTGGCAATTCCAGTGAGATTCAACAACTTTCAGATTTAACTTGTCGAGTCTGTGAGTGAAACAAAAGTGGGACAATTGGTCCTACCTTTATATTGTCGTGTCAATCATGTTTTCGTGTTTTGCAGATATCTATTCATGAGTAGTCGCGGTAGGAGTGAATAAAAAAAAAACGATCTGTCGCACATGTAAACATTAAAATTTTTAATACAAATAATGTATTTTTATTTTTAAAGTAGATTTGCATTTTTCAATTTCATGAAACATATACATATATGTGTTGTATGGAAAATTCAAAATGTGATTCTGTTTAAAACGCCAAAATAAAAGTAATTTTGATTATCATACTGTCAATTTTAGAAATTCAAAATATTTGTTTTTAATATTGTCAAGTAGTTTTAACATATTATTAAATAGTTGTCAATTATTCTGACATTTCAAACTTCAGCTCAGTTGATTGTAGTTGAATAATGCAACATAAAGTGCATGAATGTCTACACATGAAACTACAGTTTAGTTGATTGGTGGAGTATAGAACCAATCAGGTTGTTCGTTATAAAAACACACCTTTAGCTCGCACGTGCACGTTATCATAAGAATTTACTTTTTTACAAAAATGTAACAGAATTTAGTGCTTCTACGTACATTTCCTGATTGACAATAGGATAAAGATGCAATTGATTGTTAATCTAGTTTTGGTTATAGAAGTATTTATTATGTTTTAAAACATTGTATCGGTAAAAAGTAAATAGATAAAATACAGTCCAACCTCGTTGTGTCGAACTCGGTTGTGTCGAAAACTCGGATGAGTCGAAGTAATTTCTCAGTCCCGGTAAAATTCATGTTTGATCAATGCATAATTACCTCTGATGAGTCGAACTCGGTTGATTCGAATACTCGGTTAAGTCGAGTAAATCTTATAGTCCCGTCGATGTAAAATTCATGTAAATTGACCCCGATGACTCGAAGTTCGAAAGTAAGAATTTTCAAAAGATGCAGACCTTATGATAAAAATTCAAAACAGATGTATTTCTTATGTAACCTAATCATTTTCCAAAGAGATTAAAGCTGAGTAAACATACTTGTTTGTATAACAGTAAAAATGACATGTTTATGGTGACCGGTAATTAACACCTTTGGTTGATCGTTCAAGCGGAATGTTAGTGTGTTGAACATTTTTCACATCAGATAAAAACAAAACGAATTTATATGACCCGAGCCGCTCGTTAGATTTAAAACTCATTAATTACAATAAATAAAAGGACAATTACGACAAATTCATGATAATTTAATGTAAAGCAGACGACCTCTGGCTCATCAGAGACCGTTCATAACTTTATTCGTTCCGTGGGTGATTTCATAATTTATAGTGACTGACCTTTGTAAATATTTGTGTAGACTATTGATTTTATTTGTGCAACATTTGTATCTGTACTTGTGTGTTTAATTATTATGAAGAACCAAAAATGGAGATTGAATACACAATCATAAAGTGTCATATCGAAAAAAAGGCACACTGTTCATTGTATCTAGTTTACACACATCATACCGTATTTCATGCATTCCAAATTTATGACGACACACTCGACCTCGGATGTGTCGAATACTTTGGTCCGGTCCCTTCGACTTCGACACAACGAGGTTCGAATATGTATAAAAAATTGAGAGACAAAATCTGACCATGCATGTGCAAGAGATAACGATTAAAGTAAACATCAGAATTCAAATTCCCTCAAAAAATGTATCTATGTATGCGAATGATGTTGTACATGTATGTCTTAGTCGTGTTTTAAATTATAAATAAGCAAAATAAAATACAAGAAATGGGTTTCGATATACAATATTTTATTAAAACACTGCCTCCTCAATAAATCCCTTTATCTTACCTTCTATAGATTTATGGGGATATGATTGGTTAATCGACTACACGTGGTGACCATATATATTTCATATCGGGTGTCCTAAAACATACATGGTTAGTTACCATATACGGTTAGCAACCAACAAGTAAAATGTTGAAGAAAACAAGTTAGCGTGTTGTGCTACGTTTCTTATGTCTATTATATGAAATATAATATAACTCATGCCCGCCGTTTCGTTGGTGTCTCCTACATGTAAATTGTACATGTGCATGTAGTTTTATTGAAAAAGAGTTCATCTTTCTCTCCCTCTCTTTATGTGTATTAAGTTATAGTTATTGACCAAACAAGTCGCTATAAGTCATTTAAACAGCATGGCTCGGTGACCCTACTTGGCCAGAACGACGTAGGAGTTTGGGTTAAATGGTCATCCCCACTGTGCAGATTATAAACCTAAACATGTTTATATTTTGTCCTTATGTAAGTTGTACGGTTACGGGGAGAGGATTGAGGGGGGAGGAGGGGAGGGGTATATTCCTACATAAAGGTATACACAGACGTGCCGCTGGTATGGGTGACTTTTTTTGGAATGTCAAATATATCAATATCAATATGCAATTCCACGAAGGTAATATCCATGGGTAGAAATTTATATGTCAATGGATCGTACATGTTGATCTTTTTTTAAGATGTCTACTGATCATTTTATCTCATAATATGTATCACGGATCCCATGTGGTTAACCTTCTCGAACTAATACATTGTCTATTAGCATAAGTCCCAGGGTTTAGCATCTCTTTGAAATAAGATATTTCTAAAAGTGAATTTCTTATGAAAAATTTGAATGGGTGGGGATTTTCGCATAAATAAATATTTAAACGGGGGGGGGGGGGGGGGGGATTTCAAACAACAGCCGGACGTCTGTTCTCAGATTTATAGGTTTAGACCCCGTGCTGTTACATGACTGTCCCAGGTTAGGAGAAGACAGCAAACATGTTTAACCCCGCCGCATTCTGTGTGTGCCTGTCCCAAGTCAGGAGCCTGTAATTCAGTGGTTGTCGTTTGTTGTTGTATATCATATAAATAAGAAGATGTGGTATGAGTGCCAATGAGACAACTATCATGTATGTATTTCGTTTATTGTTTTGAACATGAATCAGTCCGTTAGTTTAGTTTTCTCGTTTGAGTTGTTTAACATTTTTCATTTAGCTTACTAAAGGGAGGGGAGGAGGGTTTTTTTCTGAAGGAATATTTATAGTGTGAGTGTCGATAATTTTCACGTTTAACTGAATTGAGCTTTCTGTCTAAGTGCAGTTTTAAAATCCTTTGCATTAAGCTCAGCTTATTATTATGCATATATATTATGTATGGAATTCAGATTTGAAAACGGAAGACCCTTATCTACATGTACATGATCAGAACTGTTAAGTAATATTGATGGTAATATACCTTATGCAGCACCATCGACAGCAATTTCAAAAACACATACAAAATTGTGTTACTTTATCGTACTAAAAATGCAGAAAAAAAATCGACCTTTAATGTATTATATACAACAATACTATATAAATAGTATATAGCTGAGAGGGTGATAGAGCAGATTGTTACCCCGAGAAAACATTGTCAACTGAGGCGAAGCCAAGTTGACAATTTATTTTCCGAAGGGTAACAATCTGCTCTATCACCCTCTCAGATATGTGTTATTTAATTTATTATACTGAATGTTCTGTTATTACTGCCTATCAAATTTTAAATTCAAAGTTATGAACTATGACGTCTTGTACATAACAATCATCCGTATTTATTTAAGCACACACTTGATTTATTCGTAGTTATATAAATAAATGATTGAAAACAATGTAGTTATCCTTATTTTTATAAATAAATGATAAGTTATATAGTACAAATCGTAAATAATTTATTTCAAGATTAAAAGATAATGCTAACAACAGAAAAGACAAAAACAAGTTATTTTCATATTACACGAATATGAAGAATAAACTAAAATTTATTGTAAGAAGTTACATCGGTATAATTGCATCCAACAATATAATTGTCATGTATTAATCCATTTACTGGTCAACACAGGTAGATAAAAAGCGTTCAACCGTAACAGATCGATAAACGCGTGCTGTCTTCAGTGGCGGTTAAGGCTGAAAGGGTTCATGTAGTAGCAGTACCTGTTAATCATTTAAGTTATGACTGTCGGACATATGTCCGAGATGAGATCTGGGACATGTCAGATGTCCGACTATCGTCGTAGTAAGACTCAAACTGTACTGTAGCAGCGATTTAGAAACAGTTCTATTGTTGGCAACTGAATACTGACTCCTAGAGTTTCATTGTTGGTTTTATGTTTTGATGGGTTGTTGTCTCAATGACATATACCTCAAATCTTCCTTAGTCATAGATA